GTCTTATCCTCAGGGAAGCCTTTCCCGATTCCCCAGACTAGATTGAGAATCTGTCTCACACTTGCTTCTTGACAGCATGTATCATGTTTGCACTTTATGTTTACTTGGGTGATGATTGAGTGAATGTCTGTTTCCCTCACTAGACTGGAAGCCCCATGAGCTTTGAGAATCATGATCTCCAGGACCTGCTATGTGGCAGTTGTTGAGTAAATGTTTGCTGAGTGACTAGATTTCCCAGCACTCAATAATAAAGTGATCATCCGAGAGTGACGTTAGTAAGATTCAATATATCAACATTGAGTCCCACCGTCGTGGAAATATTCCATTCCAAGAAGTGGAGGCTGCAGGGCAGTGGAAACACCAAAACCAGTCAAAGTGACTGGAGTATAGTGCTGTCCCAACATGATCATTTTTCTCTTGATAGTGGTCTCTTTCTGTCCAAGAAAAGGTTGGTCTTCAGTTGGTAAAAGGGTAGGCAAAGAGCAAGAAGCTGTTACTGTGTCTTCTGTACTAGACTGAGGAGAGGGAGCACTGGCCAGCCAAGGCAGATCCCTGGACTTCGAGGTGAGACTGTATCTCTTCACGGGAAGATGTGGGAGTTGGCCTTGTGCCGTGGTGACCAGCTGTGATCTAGATCTCCCAGCCACCTCACTTGGCTCTGAACCCTTCTTCATTGAGGATAATTTTGCTTCCTGGTAGATTTTTGTACAGAGGAGGGACTATACTGAGCAGCCAATAAGAACATTTTGTGCTGTTTGGCATGTTTCTCACTGTAAATTATTAAATAGGCATTCTGAGTCACCCAGCAGTCCCTGGCGAGTCTGGTTAGCATATTGTGCTTCTTGTGTGTGATCAACTCTTGATGCAGTGATAAAACTGAGTTGCTGATAAACTTTTAAAAATAGCTTCTAGTGCTGCTTATTGTAACATTTTGTTTCTTAGGTTTTTCAAAGGCTTGTTTGTAGATCATATTTTTGTCAATGTACCAACTCTTGGATTTATGTATTCTCCTTTTTTCTTGTTTTCCAAGACATTTTTTTCCCTGCTTATAATATTGTTTCCTTCTCTCTGTTTTCCTTGGGTCATTAAATAGGGTGGCCACAGAAGATTTCTCTGAGGCAGTGACATTTGGTCTGAGACCTCAAGGACCCAGCCATGTGAAGAAAATCTGGGTAAAGGGTATTTTAGGCAGACAGAATAGTAAGTGCCGAGGCCATGAGCAGGAACAAGCTTAGTGAGAGTGAGGAGCAGAGTAGGGAAGGGGAAGAGTGGTAGGAGATGAGGTGAGAGAGGGAGGCAGAGAGCCCAGAGGCCGTGCTAAGGAAATGAACTTTATTCTAGGGGTTCAAGGTCGCATCAGTGAATGGTAGAGGTAGAATTCAAACACCTTGTCAGCCTCTAAAACTAGTCTCTCACTCTTTTCCTGGGATGATACCCACCTTACAGGCTTGTTGTCAGGGTCACCTGAGTGGACTTGGAAACCCCGCAGCCCATGCCTGGTATGAGATAGACATGCAACTAGTGTTCCCTTTCTCCTGGTTTTCCTATAAAGGTTGAATTCTGTCACATGGTCACTACTGATTTGTCACTCTAAAGTCTTCCTCTTTATCCCTAGGTAATGCTTTTTGTGTACTAGTTCATTTTAATATAAATATGCCCATACCCACTTTTTATTGATTCTGTTGATTGATATGTCTTTACTCATATTTTTAGCCTTTTGGTGTCATCTTGGTCCTGGGTCTTTGGTCCTAGCCCCTGGCTTTAAATGTTACTCCAATTTATATCTAGCCCAGACCTTACCCTTGACCTCCAAGTTTAACTATCCAACTGCCTACACCACTTCTCTTCTTGGATGCCCAGCTGCATCTCAACTCAATACGGTCATGCCCCATGATGACATTCTGGTCAACGACGGACCACATACCTGATGGTGGTCCCGTAAGATTAGCACCATAGAGCCTAAGTGTGTACTGGGCTGTACCATCTAGGTTTGTGTAAGTACACTCTATGATGTTCACACAACGACGAAATCGCCTGATGACACATTTCTCAGAACATATGCCCATCGTTCAACTACGCATGACTGTAATCAAAATTAAACCCTTGATTCCCCCCTCCTCTAGTCAACCTCTTCCCACCCACCTTCCCAGCCTCTACATCTCTGTAAATGCCAGTGCACTGTATCTAGTTCCTGGAGCCAAGTCGCTCCCAGTTCTTCCCTCTCCTTCAGTCCCCACAGCCAGCATGTCAGCAGACCCTTTTGGTTCAGCCTTCAAAACATGACCCACATTCCCTGCTCCTCTCTATTTCTATTGCCTACGATGCTGTCCAGTTGCCCTCATTGCTCACCTGGCTACCAGAGTGGCCTCTGAAATGGTCTCTCTCCTTCCTCTTTGCTCCCCTACAATCCATTTTCTACACAGCGGTTAGAAAAAGATATATAAAATATCAGATAGTCCTGCTTAGAACCTGCCAGTGATTTCTTATTCCATTTAGAATAAAATCCAAGCTCTTTGGGTTTTTTGTTTTTGTTTTTGTTTTTGTGAGGAGGACTAGCCCTGAGCTAACATCCATTGCCAGTCCTCCTCTTTTTGCTGAGAAAGACTGGCCCTGGGCTAACATCCGTGCCCATCCTCCTCTACTTTATATGGGACACCACCACAGCATGGCTTAGCAAGGAGTGCATCAGTGCGCGCCCGGGATCCAAACCTGTGAACCCCGGGCCGCCGCAGCGGAACGCACACACTTGACCGCTACCCCACCGGGCCGGCCCTGCTCCTTGGGTTTTAAATAAATCCTTAACACAGTCAAGCATATTGTAGCTGGACTTGACTGTGTTGCACAAGGCCCTGCAGCTAACCTGGCTCCTGCCTCCTCTCCAGCCTCACCTGGGGCCCTGTTCCCCTTGTCGTCCATGCTCTGATGACACTGGCCTCCTTTCTGTTTCTCAAACAGGCCAAGTGCCTGCCTGGCTCAGGGCCTTGGACTTGCAGTTACCTTTGTCTAGAACACGCGTTCCTCAGCTCTTCACTGCAGGCTTCTTCTTACCCTTCATGTCTTAGCTGTCATCTCAGAGAGCCCTGCCCTGCCCTCTTATTGAAGTAGGATGTCCTGATCCCACCTCTTAGTTACCCTCTATTGTATCACTAGTTTATTTCCCACAGAATGCTATAACCATGGGTGGTTAACATGTTCATTTTGGTAGTCGTCTGACTCCACCACAGGGTGTAAGTTCCATGAGGATAGGAACCTTGTTTGCCTTATTTGCCACTGTGTCTTCATTGTCTCATACGCAACAGTTACATCATAAATACATGGGTTTTGTGGCTCAGCTGAACATGCAGCAGGGGGCACAGAAGAGTTGCTGCCAGAACATCAGGAGTGGGCCCGAGGTAGGCATTGATGCTGAATGAATGAATGAATTAATGAGAGAGTAATGAATACTGTCTTAAGTATAGCTCAGCAAATTGTTGGATTTCCCAAATCTATCATGAGACTTGCTTAAAAGAAAAAAATGTTTTTAATTGTGGTAAAATATACATAACATAAAATTTACCATCTTGACCGTTTTTCATTGTGGTAAAAAACACATAACATAAATTTTGACATCTTAACCATTTCTAAGTATACAGTTCAGTAGTGTTAAGTATATTCACATTGTTGTGCAGCCAATCTCCGGAACTCTTTCATCATGCAAAATTGAAACTCTGTACCCATTAAACAACAAACAAGTCCTCATTCTTCACTCCCCCCAGCCTCTGGGAACCACCATTCTACTTTCTGTCTCTATGAATTGGACCACTCTAAGTACCTTATTTAAGTGGAATCATACAATATTTGTCCTTTTGTGTCTGGCTTATTTCACTTAACATACATATGTTCAAGGTTCACCCATGTTGTAGCATGTGTCAGCATTTCCTTCCTTTTTAAGGCTGAATAATATTCCTTTGTATGTATGTATCACATTTTGTTTATCCATTCATCTATTGATGGATACTTGGGTTACATCCACATTTTGGCTATTATGAGTAATGCTGCTGTGAACATGAGGGTACAAATATCTCTTTGAAACCCTGCTTTCAATTCTTTTGCGTATGTACTCAGAAGTGGAATTGCTGAATCACATAGTAATTCTGTTTTTACTTTTTTGAGGAATTTTCATGTTCTCCATTGTGGCTGCATCATTTACATTCCTACCAACAGTGCACAATGGTTCCAATTTCTCTGTACAGTCATGTGTCACTTAACATGGGGATACGGTCTAAGAAATGCATCCTTAGGCGATTTTGTAGTTGTGTGAACATCATAGAGTATACTTACACAAATCTGGATGGTATAGCCTACTACACACCTAAGCTATATGGTACTAATCTTATTTTTTATTTTGTTGTGAGGAAGATCAGCCCTGAGCTGATATCCATGTCAATCCTCTTTTTTGCTGAGGAAGACCAGCCCTCAGCTAACATCTATTGCCAATCTTCCTCCTTTTTTTCCCTTTTTTTCCCCCAAAGCCCCAGTAGATAGTTGTATGTCATAGTTGCACATCCTGCTAGTTGCTGTATGTGGGACACCTCCTCAGCGTGTCCAGACAAGTGGTGCATCAGTGTGTGCCAGAGATCCGAACCCGGGCCGCCAGTCTCAGAGCGCGCACTTAACCGCTAAGCCACGGGGACGGCCCCGGTACTAATCTTATTGGACCACTGTCGTATGTGCGGTCCATCGTTGACTGAAATGTTACGTGGCACATGACTGTATCCTCACCAACCCCGTATTTTCTGGTTTTTTGATAGTAGCCATCCTGATGGCTATGAGGTGATATCTCACTGTGTTTTTGATTTGCGTTTCCCTGATGATTAGAGATGTCGAACATCTTTCATGTGCTTGTTGGCCATTTGTGTATCTTCTCTGGAGAAATGTCTGAGACTCACTTTTAATAGAATAATTTAAGACTTTACATTTTATTGTCAAAATTATGCATAGCTTGACTTTTAAAAAACTTTTTTATTGTGGTAAAAAACTCATATAATTCATCATCTTAACTATTTCTAAGTGTGCAGTTTAGTGGTGTTAAGTCTATTCACATTGTTGTTCAACCAATCTCTAGAACTTTTTCATTTTGCAAAACTGAAACTCTATACCCATTAAACTCAACTTAACTTATGATATGTCATTTTGTATGTTTGTCATGTTTCCTTTCTGTTTTATTAATGTGAAGTTTCTGGACCAGCAGAGCTGAGGGAACGCAAATTTGGACTGAAGCGACTCTCCTGAGGTAAGCCACCTTCTGAAGTCTTATCTTGGCTAACAGTAGGACCCTCTCCCTGACACCTCTGGGTCCACAGGGCTCCAGGGGCTCAGTGGGAGATGAAGACAGGTACCGACTTCCCCCTGAAGGATTGGCCCTGGGCATGTATGCACACATTGGGCCATTCTCACCCAGATGGCTCCATGCTTGGCCATTTGGAATCACTATCAGTGGAAAAGCTATTCCCACACAAGGAGTGGTCAGCTTTGAAACCCTGGCCATTCTCATACACTGAAACCCTGGTACAGTTTTCTGGAGGGCAGTTTGATAGAGTGTCCATCAAAAGCCTGAGCTATGAGCCTTCTCTGACCCAGTGGTCTACTAGGATTTTATTTTAAAGGAATATAAAAACACCTCTGCAAAGATAAATACACAGAATGTTCATCACAACATTGTGTATAATAATATGAACTTGGCAACAACTTATGTGTCCAACAGTTAAAGACTGGTTGAAAAAATCAAGATCCATCTGTACAGTCATGTGCCACATGACATTTCGCTTAACAACAGACTGCATATATGACGGTGGCTCCATAAGATTAGTACCACATAGCCTAGGTGTGTAGCAGGCTATACCATCTAGGTCTGTGTAAGTACACTCTATGATGTTCGCACAACAACAGAATTGCCTAAGGATACATTTCTCAGAATGTATTCCCGTCATTAAGCGACACATGACTGTATATGAAAATGAAGCTAAATGTAAATTGTTTATTTTCCCTGGGCATTGAAATAAGGATTGTAGTTTATTTTTTCTCCATTAAGAAAGTTTACTCTATATATATAATTTTTAGAAAGAAAAAAATTTGATATATACTTTTAATTCGGCAAAAACGTAGACTAATCTGCAGGTGACAGAATTTTGAGTGATTTCCGTGTTTTCAAAATGGTTTACCAACAGCATACATTACTTTTGTAATAAGATCAAAAAGTAAAAGGTAATTGAAAATAAAAATAAAATCTCTGGAAATGGGATAGCATCGTGTGTTTTTCACCTCTATGATTGTTTCAGGTCAACCCCATGGCTATTCCATGTGATTCAAATGAAACTTCCTATTTGCTACCTCCAAACAGTGAGGACTGGGAAGGGCATGGCATTCCTGACTTTGTCTATCGGCAGGAGGAGCTCAGGCTGGAAGGGATTCAGTGGCCGGGGAAAGCACCCAGCCTCCCGGACACGCCACCACTGTCCCGCTTCGACTCTGCACTCTGCTCTGCCTGGAGGCAGCGGATGGAGCTGGGCTTGTTCCGCTACCACCTGGGGGAGCTGCAGACCAAAACCCTCCCGGGTGCTGTGGGGTTTGTGGCTCAGCTGAACGTGGAGCGAGGTGTGCAGAGGAGGCGCCCCCAGAACATCAGGAGCGTGAGGCAGGCGTTCGACCCTGAACAGTTTAACTTCAGCAAGATCCAGCCAGGAGAAGTCCTCTTCCGATTGCACCGGGAGCCCCATCTCCCTGGTGCTCTCCAGCAGGAGGACATCCTCGTGGTGATCAACGTCAGCCCTTTGGAGTGGGGCCACGTGCTGCTGGTGCCCGAGCCCGCTTGTGGGCTCCCCCAGCGCCTGCTGCCAGGGGCACTGCAGGCCGGGGTTGAGGCTGTGCTGCTGAGCTCACACCCGGGCTTCCGTGTCGGCTTCAACAGCCTGGGGGGCTTGGCCTCGGTGAACCACCTCCACCTGCATGGCTACTACCTGGCCCACAGACTGCCTGTGGAGGGGGCACCCAGCGAGCCCCTGGACCCTGGGGGTCATTTGCATCTGCTCCAGGCTCTTCCAGCTCCCGGCTTCCTCTTTTACACTAGCGGGCCAGGGCCTGAATTGGAAGCCTTGATAAGCAGGGTATGTCGGGCTACTGACTACCTGACTGACCATGAGATTGCACATAACTTGTTTGTGACTCGGGGGGCCCTACCAGGAAACACATCACCTTCCTCAGCCCTCACGGGGGTCCGAGTAATTCTGTGGGCCCGGAAGTCCAGCTTTGGGATAAAGGAAGGTGAGGCATTCAATGTTGCCCTCTGTGAACTAGCTGGGCACCTCCCTGTCAAAACATCCCAAGACTTCAGCAGCCTGACAGAGGCAGCCGCTCTGGCCCTCATCCAGGACTGTCTGCTGCCCCCAGCCCAGGCAGAAGAGGTGCAGGCAGCACTGGTGGCCTTGACAGCCCAGGAGGAGCAGTAATCCTTCCAGAAGTATTTATTTTCTAACTGATCTAAGTCCCTTTCCAGAGAGCTGTGCGTAATGGTCATTTTCATAACTGCCTTCTCATCTATCTCAGCCTAAGGGGAAGGATAAAGATCTGATAAGCGGTCTCTTAAAGAGGAGAAACCTTGGAATAAATCAAATGAATGAGCACTCATGGATGTATCTCCTGCTTCTCACCTGTCTTCCTGGACAAGCCCCAGGGATGTCAAACCTATTAAGAAGGGAGTGTGCACAAGAGTGACATACTCCTGACTTTATGTCTGGCCTTTTCTCTTCCTTTCTTATCAAATCTTAGCAAAATGATAGTTTATGTGCCTCTGGCATTCTGCCCCCCTTCCTCTGTTCTCCCCTCTGCTCTCTCTGCCTTTGCCCACCAGAGTTTTATTTCTTCGTCTCTCCCCTACATTTGGCCCTGCTCCAGATGCCTGTTTATAGCACATTCTTCACCTACCTGGCCACCTTGAAGTTTCCTCCAGCCCCCAACACTGAGCTCAGTGTTCTTCACATACGTCATCTCATGTGAAAACAAGGTGTCCTCACAACTTCGAAGGTGCGGGTCCTCTTCATACTCCATTTAACAGATGAAGAGACCCAGACTGACAGAGATTTAAGAGCTTGTCCAAGGTCAGACAGCTCCTACATAGTAGCACAGGCAGGCAGACACCAGAAGCTGAGTTGGGTCTGTGCACTTGTGACTGTCTATCCAGGCAGTGGCTCCCATAGCAGAGGTGCAGTCCCTAACAGTTCTCGGGCCCTGAGCTGAGGCCCAGCTCCCCGGGTAGTTGGCTTTCTCTGCCCAGGCCTCTATGAAGCTCGTATATATAGGATTTTAGAGGTTTAGTATCCCAAAAGACATTATAAAGTCTCGTTGGGATAAAGTAGAATATGCACCATGACACATTTCATAAGAAAAACAGTTTAACATTTAAATGTAAATTTATACGTTTAATATTTAAATTTCTCTCCAAAAAACTGTCACCCTCGTGTTTTTGGCAATTGCAGTAATTTTAGCTTAATGCCACTTTCTGCACCCCTTTGCATATACAAGCTCCAATAACATCACTTGCTTTTGCTTGCTCACTCTCATAAGGCAGTGCAGATGACCATTACAGCAGAGTGGATTTTGTGTCCAAGGTGATGAGCCCAAATATCAGGATTTCCTAGTTTTTCCCTAGGACTGATGTTCAGAGTAAAGCCTCATCTGGCCCAAATAAGTTTTCATAAAAAAGAGGAAAAAAGTCAAATAGGTTTTCTTTATGGTGGTACTTCTCAGCCATTTATATACTCTGTGAATCACCAACAAGGGGATTTAGACGGAAGCTTGAGTATGGAACACTGAGGGGACCCTTTGTTCTCCGAGCCCTGGGCTTTGAGCCTGGTCAGAAGGGCCGATCCTGTCCAGAGCCTCTGCAGCTCTTCGCTTACCTTTTGATGGAGGGCCTCATGTACTGAGGGGTTTTGGACTTGATCTAATGGAAAACCTTGAAGAGTTTTAAATTGGGGAGTAACAGATTTGCATTTTAGGAAGAATGCTTAAGCTGCCATGGATGGATGGATGGATGGAGGGAAGAATTGAATCAGGGAGACCAATTAAGAGGTTGCTGAATGGTGGTAATTCAGGCAAGAAATGATGGTTCAGGTCCTAGAACAGTGCCTGGAACACTAAATATTTGTCAAAAGAATGAGAAAAATGAGTATCCTAGAAGCCAAGGGACTCCAAAGCATTTCAAGGAGGAGGTAATTGAGAGTATCGTGCTGAAGAAAGATCAAGAAGTCTGAATCAGAAAATGTCCATGTCTTTTCAAAGGAGGGAAATTTTTAGTGTCCCATAGGTTGAGCCACATGGTACTCTTAAGGTGATAAGTTGGGCTGAGTTTGGTGGAGGCGGCGATCAGAAGTCAGACAAAGTGGATGGACGTCAGGAAGAGGAGGCGTCAATGTTACCACAATAAACCGAAAAAAAAAAAGAGGAGATAGTGAAGGAGCCTCTGATAAGGCGGTTCTGTTATTCCTTAGTGGAGCTGGGTGAGCGCCTGGCGAGCATGTGTGCTAATCACGGCTGTCCCCAGTGCAAGGACTGTGCTCAAGGTATGGTTACTAAAAAAATTAAAGGCAAGCAGATATTTGTCCCTAACACAGAGTTGGCCAAATTCTGGGCTTGGCCTGCGGGTTCAAGGAAGGATGAGGGTAGGGCTTGTGCGAACTGACCTCAAAGCGGAAGGACTACAAGTCCCATGATGCCGCCTGTCAGCTGCTGCTGGGCTGGCTTGCGCTTCTGCCGCCAGCCCAGGGCGAACGATTCCGGGCCCCGCCCAAGACGGCCTCAGCGGACGCCCGAGTGGGTGCGGTTCCCGGGGAGGCCCCGCCCCCAGAGCGCTTCTCCAATGGGGGCCGCCCTCGTGTCCATGGCGACGGCGGCGGCGGCGGCGGCGGCGGCTGCCGGCTTGCGGGAGGAGGCGCCGCCGCCGCCGGGATCTTCCAGCCAGGAGTGAACCTCGGGTGGGGAGCGGGCTCCCCCTCGCAATCGGCGGTGACAGCCAGTCCTGCGGAACAAGGAGGCGGTCCCCGAGCCCCTGCAACGACCGAGAAGGAGCAGGAGGCGGGCTGAGGGCGGCCATGAGTGACTAGCTGAGTCCAGCCCCAGGACGCTAGAGGCGGACCCAGCAGCCCCTCCTCTCCTCGGAACCTCGGGTGGGCAGTGTCCGCCGGAGGCTCCCCTTCCGCCGTTAGAGCCCAAGGGGTCTTAGCCATCGGGTGCCTGGCCCCAGTCTGTACACATGGAGAAACTGAGTCATGAGACAGGGAAAGGGCCAGCCTAGGGGACCTTTGGTCTTCAGCTGTATCTGAAAAGCGAAGGTTCCCCCAGCGCTCCCAGCCATCCCCCATCCCGTTCAAGAAGAAAAAAGCTATGTTCATGGCCCCTGCCGGCTCTCTTCAGCTCCTGCATGCACCCCAGTGGGTTGTATGGAGTGATCTCGGATGATTGGGACTTGTCAGTAAATCCAACATCTCATTGGCATCCCATGGCCCCCATTACCTACTTGGGAACATCCCATTCTGCAGTGGGATTGTTCTGTTCTGAAGGAGCAGCAACGCTCTCTTATAGCACCGTGAAGGTCCTTTGGGTGGATTCCTGCAGGCCTTCGTGGGCCTGGAGGGAGGTCTGATATACATTTCACTCCCATTCCTCTTCCCTCAGAATCTACAAGGATGGAACCAAGTACCTGTAAGACCAGTGAATCTGAGGAAGAATATGCTGAAGAAGAGGAATCGGAGGAGGAGTGTGTTAAAGGGGAAGCTACCATCCCTTCTAACCTTTCTCAGCAGGCACTCTCAAAGGCTGACTGTAAGGCATTTGGGAATGGAGTTCCCTTATCCATTGTAGCCAAGAAAATTCCCAAGAAAATCATAGCTCCAACTGACTCAGATGGCTTAGAAGTTGGGAGGAGAAAGAGAAGGCGGAAACGCAGGTAACCATTCCCTGGACCCCCTCACCTGCCTGGCTCCAGAGAGTTGCCCCCTGGCTTCCCTTCAGCAGTTTGGGGTGCTGGGATCCAAAAGAGGACAGGGAATATGGGAGCATCATTAACCTTTTGGTAAACAAACAAACAAAATTCCAAACCATTTGGGCTGGCTTAGTTTGGCATTTCAGCACATTTATATCATCCTGGTCTTTCCTTTAGTGGCTTCTAGAGAAAATGAATTGTACTGTGAATTTGTTGGGTATCTCTTCATCTGGGTGTCTGGCAGCCCAGGGTCTGTCCTCTCCCACTCTGCCTGATTTCTGCTATTCCTCCATTCCAGACCCCTGGCCATCAACCTGACCAACTGCAAGTATGAGAGTGGTAAGCACCTGGCTCGTCACTCACACTACTGCATAAGAGGGC